CATGAAATTGACTTAATACCCGGCGCATCGCTACCCAACCATGCACCATACCGTACCAATCTAGAGGAGACGAAGGAGATTATGCGCCAAGTACAGGAGCTGCTCGATAAAGGATATATATGTGAATACCTTAATCCTTGTGTTGTTCCTATTATACTAGTGCTGAAAAAGGATGGTACACCGCGTACATGTGTTGACCCTAGAGGCATTAATAATATTACTGTTAGTTATCGTCCTCCTGTTCCTTGGCTAGATGATATGATTCATGAATTGAGTGGCTCTACTATTTTCTCCAAAGTTGATTTCCATAGTGGATACCATCAAATTCGTATGAAATTGGGAGATGAATGGAAAACAACATTTAGAACTAAGTTTGGATTATATGAGTGGTTAGTCATGCCTGTTGGGTTAACTAATGCACCTAGTACTTTCACGAGATTAATGAACGAAGTTTTACATGCTTTTATTTGATGATTTGTGGTAGTTTACTTTGATGATATACTGATTTATAGCAGATCTTTGGACGAACAGTTAGAACATTTACGTGTTGTTTTCATTGCTCTATTTGATGAACGTTTGTTTGGTAGCCTTAGGAAGTGCGCCCTTTGCACCTACAGAGTATCATTTCTTGGCTATGTTGTTACTCCACAGGGAACTGAGGTTGATAAAGCCAAGACTGAAGCTATTCAGAGTTGGCCGCAATCCAAAATGGTCCCACAAGTGAGGATTTTTCGTGGACTTCCTGGTTTCTATAGGCGTTTTGTGAGGGATTTTAGCACCATTGCTGCACCTCTCAATGAACTTACAAAGAAGGATGTGCCTTTTGTTTGGAGTACTACACAGGAAGAAGCCTTCACTATATTGAAAGATAAGTCGACGCATGCTCCTTTACTCAAATTTCCTGACTTTAATAAGACTTTTGAGCTCGAATATGATGCCAGTGGAATTGTATTAGGAGGTGTGTTATTACAAGATGGTAAACCTGTTGCATACTTTTCTGAAAAATTGAGTGGGCCTAGTCTGAACTATTCTACTTATGATAAAGAACTATATGCTCTTGTTCGGACTTTAGAAACATGGCAAAATTATTTATGGCCCAAAATATTTATTATACATTCTTATCATGAATCATTGAAACATATTAAAAGTCAAGCAAAACTGAACCATAGACATGCTAAATGGGTTGAATTCATTAAGACTTTCCCTTATGTCATAATACACAAGAAGGGTAAAGAAAATGTTATTGCTGATGCACTGTCTCGTTGTTATACTATGCTTTCACAACTTGACTTTAAAATATTTGGTTTGGAGACCATCAAAGATCAATATGTGCATGATGCTGAATTTAAAGATGTATTGTAGAATAGTAAAGAAGGGATAACATGGAACAAGTTCGTCATTAATCATGGATCGATTTGTGTTTCGTGCTAACAAGCTATGCATTCCATCTAGCTCCGTTCATATTTTGTTGTTGCAGGAGGCGTGTGGAGGAGGATTAATGGCACACTATGGCGTGAAAAAGACAGAGGACATACTTGCAACACACTTCACGACTTGATCCTCATGGTTTATATATGCCTTTGCATGTACCTAGTGTTCCATGGAAGGATATATCGATGGACTTCGTTTTAGGTTTACCTTGGACTAAGAAGAGGAGGGATAGCATATTTGTTGTCGTGGATAGATTTTCCAAAATGCACACTTTCTACCATGTCATGAAAAGCGATGATGCTGCTAATGTTGTTGATTTGTTCTTTCGTAAAATTATTCACTTGCATGTTGTGCTAAATACTATTGTGTCAGATCGTGATACTAAGTTTCTTAGCCACTTTTGGAGATGTTTATTGGCTAAGTTGGGGACTAAACTGCTTTTAGTACGACATGTCACACCCAAATTGATGGACAAACTAAAGTAGTCAATAGAACATTGTCTACTGTGCTTAGGGCTGTTTTGAAAAATAACTTTAAAATGTGGGAAGAATGCTTGCCTCATATTGAATTTCCTTATAATCACTAGTTGCATTCTACTACTAAAATGCGCCCTTTTGAAATTGTGTATGGTTTCCTAGCTTGTGCACCCAATTATTTGTTGCCTCTTCCATCTCCGGAGAAGGTTAATTTTGATGCTAAACAACGTGCTAAATTGATCTTAAAAATGCATGAGTTAACTAAGGAAAACATATAGCGTTTGAATGCTAAATATAAACTTGTTGGAGATAAGGGTAGAAAACATGTTGTCTTTGCACCTGGCGATCTTGTTTGGTTACATTTGCGTAAGGATAGGTCTCCTGACTTGCACAAATCCAAGCTAATGCCACGTGCTGATGGTCCTTTTAAGGTGTTAGAGAAAATAAATGACAATGCATATGAACTTGAGATGCCTGCAGATTTTGGGGTTAGTCCCACTTTAAACATTGCAGATTTGAAGCCTTATTTGGGTGAGGAATATGAGGTTCCGTCGAGGACGACTTCAATTCAAGAAGGGGAGGATGATGAGGACATCAATACTACAGTTACACCCACGATCCCTGCAGCTACATATACTGGACCAATTACTAGAGCTCGCACAAGCCAATTAAATTACCAGGTACTTTCATTTCTTGGTAATGATTCTAATGTTCATGAGAATATGCTGCCTAAATTGAATACATTTGTTTTACTTACAATTGAAGGGGCTACCTTTGACAAGAAGGATGAACATTGGAGCAAGGATAAGCATGGAGATGATGGCATGCACAAGGAGACCAAGAACAGAGTTTCAAGTGATGATTTTAGGACTTTGAAGCCACCATAATGAGTGCATGAAGGCTTGGACAAAATTTAAAAGATGCTAGTTCATAAATTTCGTCTAGAGGCTAATATTGGTGTTGCGTCACATTATTAATGGTCAAGGCCCATGTAATTTCGAAATGCTTCAGTATATGTTGTTTATTGAGTCCGTATGTATGGGGAAACAAAGTTAGGGTTGGTTTCGGAACCCTCCTCCAAGGGGTCACAAAATTCCCCCTATTCCTCCATATATACAGCCCTTGGGGCATCGGTTAGACTTTGGGTATTGCTTAGATTAAAGTTCGCCATTGTTGCCACTCACGTACTTCCTTTGTGTTCAACGACCAGACAAAGACATCACCGAACCACACTTCATCAATAAATTTATCCTCTTATATTCCCAATATCCAGATTGCAATCTCAGTTTCTTGCTTGTTCTTCGTTTGCTCGCAGGAAATAGACCCGCATCGTGATGTTGATAGTGCTCCGGCATGATCAGTAAACCTCGGAAGTTGGTTTAGCGACCGCTAAGGCGCGATGTGTCGCACGTTCGTAGTCGGATCGTCAAAGTCGACTCCCATAGAACACGATAGCTATCTGATTGAAACATCGGGATACCTTCGCCTCAATCAGCCATACATATCTTACTTTTCACAAGTTAATGTTTTTTTGTCATTTTTGTGTGGTATATGTGTTCGATGCTTGGAGCATATGCTTCAATTTTGTTGTTAAATGGTGATATTGTAGTAAGTTTAGTTCAAAGTTTTTTTCCATTTACATCACTTTTCACATACTTCATAGGTTTTACTGTTTTAAAATGTAAACCAAATACTCTTTTATATTTGTTTGCCAATTGTTTTAGTTGTTTTTAAACACCTATTTATGCATCTTTTCTAAGACTGTCCCGGTGACAACGTACGAGACATCATCTATTTTAACTAAATAGGTGGTACCCACTATCTTATTTCTCTCAATATGCAAACAAAAGCACATAAATATGATATCATGCTTGGTAAAAGGTCCACCTCTTGAGAACAATGCTACATATCTAATATTTACCCGAGGTTTGTATGGTTTCGGCTAATCACCCTCAGTTTAATCAATACATTAAGGGGACATTGGATCACAATGTCAAATGCGGACCATACATGTCATATGTAGATCATTTTTGGACCTCAATATGGAAAAATGCATGCCACTATAATATGTTGCCTATTCTTTGCACATGCGTACCTCGATGTCATATTGTTAGTCATTTGGTTGGAATTGGGTGTCATTAACAAGTTATGCATTTAGTCATCATTCTGATTTTTTGTATTAATCTACGATGCAAATATTACCACCTCATCAAGTCATGCATGCCTTTCTTTTTTGGAGGAATCAAGTCATGCATCTCAATCCAAATTTAAATGTTTTTCCCTAATTTTGGTGTGGTATATGATTTGGATGCTTGGAGAAAACTTATATATCATATGCTTCACATTTCTGATAAAAGATGTGGTTGCATTCATTTTCGTTCAAAACTACGTCTCTTATCTCTCTCTCTCTCTCTCTCTCTCTCTCTCTCTCTATGTGTGTGTGTGTGTGTGCGTGTGTGTGTGTCATATACTTTGTCGATTTTATCATTCAAAAGTGTAAAACTGAGAAGACCCTTACATTATTTTCCATTAGATTTAGTTATTTTTAAGAACTTTTTTGTACATGTTTATCTCTTCCAATGGCAATACGCTGGGCACCCACTGGTATAACTAAATATGTGATCCCCACTAACTTATTTCTCTAGCATGCATACGTACCACCACATGCATGGGAGAAACCCACCTCCATAAGCAAGTATGCATTCCAGTATATGATGCTACCATATATCGTTGAAATATACTATAACAAATTCATGTAACAATGTGCATGCTTTCATCTATTTGTATAAATGCAGAGTATAACAAACTTGGAACTTAGACACATATTCATTGGAGGAGCATATTTGGGGCCACCGGGCTATGGCCATCCTTTTGAAAAAAGCAATATTTTATGGATAGTACATATGTCCCTATTGTTGGCCAAGTTGTTTGACAAGACTGAATCTTAGCCAACTAGCTAGTATTATTTCTCTAAGTGACCTTATAGACAACATCATAGAGAAAAACATATAAATTACAGAACACAAAATGATATGTAAAACCATGAAAAATGCAAATACTTAAGGCAAACAAGAACATAAAAATAATTCATACTTGCTTCCCAAGCCGAAGAGACTCATTGTTTGCTTTCACCCAATTGATCTAGAAATAGTTGAGCTTGTGATGTGGGGGTGGGGGAGAAAAGGGCGTGGAGAAATCAAAGATATTGTCACCGATCTTCGATGCTATCATGTGTGAACGCAAGCTGGAAAAATAGTAGAGAGAGTATTACCATTGAGAAGATTTTATCCTCCCTTTGTTCCTTGTTCCTCTCATTTGGCTCCCCTAATTTAGTTTTTCTTCCGTTATTCTCTATTTTTGTCAGTTCTTGTTGTGGTGGTGATGTCATTGTGTTATTTTAGAATAGTTCGGCGGGGTCTTAGGGAGGAGAGGCTAATATGGGCATGCATGGTTGATATCGCTTCTCTGCTTTGGACCTCACAAGAGAAAGAACATGATCTCTCTCTCTCTCTCTCTCTCTCTCTCTCTCTCTCTCTCTCTCTCTCTCTGACACACACACACACAAAACACACACACACACACACACACAAACACACACATGTTTAGAACCTATCGTATGTGCTTAATAGTTAATGTAATGATGTCAACCTCTATTCCTCCTACAACCAGAATGGTCGATGCCTCTTTCTCTCCTTTGGGCATCAAAATATATTTTCACTATCCAAGCTGGAAGGTATTATTCAAAATATGGGAGTTTCGATGTTTGCATTATAATACAGAATGAATGGATTGTGTAGTGTCAAAACTAGATAGAAACTTGCAATGTGGTTGCTACAAGTTGCACAACCTTAGCTTCCAACTCTCAAAGACAATATATGATGACATGTATGATATCTTTATTAGAAAATATCACATATACTCTATTAGCTATTCATCAACACTCTACGTCCGCATGGGCTAGTATGCAAAAGAAAGTACGGTATTTAAAATGTAGGTAGTATGAGATGGCACTTTTAACCATTGGTGGAACTTTAATTTTTATGGTACTTATTGAGGAATTGAACTATTTCATTTTCTTGTTACTTCTAGAGATATTGGATTCTTTCATTTGTGTTATTGTCACATCCCAGAATTTTCCCAAATCGAGACAGTTTAAAAAATTAGAGGATTAGAAATTTGCTAGAAAACCCAGTGTGTGCTTGCTAATCAACTAACATTGCATAGGCTTATGTGTTGTCAGACCCTGATTAACCACTTAGGAGGGTTAAAGGCCCCGCACAACAAAGTAGAACCATAACTCCCTCTCTCGCGCGGATTGATAGGCCCCACATGTCAGGGTCGCCCTCAACTTCCCGCAAGTACCGCGACCAAGCACGCGCCCATGACCAAGCGTACGATGCATACAACCCCCATGTCTTCACAGCCATCATGCACATCCGCCGCTGCCTCCATGCCCTATAAATACCCCTCACTTCCCTCTACGAAAGCCCCAACACTACGACATACATCATCGTCAGGCTGCCTCGCCATGACCCCACCTTCGCTGCTCTAGCCTAGAAACTTTGGCGAGGATTCCGTCAAATCCAGCCACCGCCTAGAATGGATCCTGCCACCAATAGCTTCCCTATTCCCAGCCAAACCCCATGGACATTATCACCGATCCCAAACCCCCTTAGAGGACAACTTTCGATGATAGCTGAAGCTCGCTGTTGTGTCACAGTTCCTTGTCATGAGCACCATAAGAGCCCAGCCCTAGGACCTTGTCCATTGCATTTGATTTAGCCATGTGCATCCCCCTGTCCCATCCATTTGTCCAGATAAGAACATGAAGCAACCATCATTATCATCTTCTCTAGTGAGTTGTTGTCATCATTACCGTTGCTCCAAGGACCACAAGAATCACCAGAAGGACCGTCGCGCAAGCGGCACCATGTTGTCCACTTCCTCGACACAAGAAACCACCAAAGCACCAGATCTGATGAGTCCCAAGTACAGCACCGCCACGCACACGTTTTTCAGTGGGATTCCAGTGAGGAACCTAACCATTGCCATTTGGCTACATCACAGCCATCCACGACACTTTAAATAGCACGACCCCTGTTATTTCTGAGCCGAACTAATATCAACCAATAGGAGACATGCACATGTGCCCTAATTTGTTGAATTCGAATAAAGAGACATACTACAAATGGAAGTTTTATGGAAAACCCCCTATAACATTGAACAATCATAACTTTTATTCTATAAATACAAATTTAGTGAAACTTTTTGCAAATTAACCCTTTGGCAATACACCTTCACCGAGAACAAAATATTAGTTTTTAAATAATTTCAAATTTAAATTCAAACAGAATGAATTCAAACTTAAATAGGGCCTAACTTACAAATTATAAATCCAACTAAATTTATTCTTTTTACGAAATAGAAGTAGAGAATTATAGTTTCAACTTAGCTCACCGCAATTCAAATATGGGATAAGTTTCTATTGTGAATTTAAATATAGTTCAACTGAAGCTGAAATTCAACTTGAATTTAAAACCAATTAAGTTATAACTTTAAAATAAAAGGTTTAAATGGAATAATTCTTTGCAGCATAGTTCAGAAACTTAAAGTAAATTTTGTTACGTGATTATAGGATTTATATTTGACTTCAGGAAATTCAAACCCAATTTGAATTCAGTACAAGCTTAAATGGGATCTAAGAACAATTGACCATAGTGAATAACTTGGATTTGAACTTCACTTTAGTTCAAACTTGAATAAGACTTTAAATAAACTCTAGTAAATAATTATTGGATTTATATTTGACTTTAGGAAATTCAAATACAATTTGAATTAAATTCAAACTAGAATCGGGTATAACCTTAAAACCCCAAACTCAATTTAAATGAAACCTTTTGCATAACAATTGAGAAACCCAAATTAACCTCCAGTATAATTTTGGAGATTAACTTGACTTGAGGATACAAACATAATTTGAATTTAGTCAAACTTAAAGGCATTTTATTAGCATAAATTAAATGAAACCTTAAGCAAATAAATTCATGAACCAACCTTAGAAGTTATGAAATCATATGAACTTGAACCTAGCTTTACAAATTCAAATTTAGTTTGATTTCATATTCAACTCTTTTTAATTCAAACTCAATTCAATTTGAATCCAAATAAGATGAACCATAATTCAAGTTCAACTTGAATTGTAGGCCAAACCAAATTGATGAATCTAGATGAACTTATTTAAATTACTGAACCTAATTCATATTATATGAACTAATTCAAATTCAATTATGAAGTTCAAGAGTCCAAGCGAATTTACTCTTAAATATGAAATCAACTTAAGTCAAGATCAATCGTGAATCTTAAAATGAAACTAGCTAAGCCTAGAGCGTATTAAAGCTCATGAGAGGCCAACTAGTTTGAATTGTCATGTAAACTTAAACATGAGTTTGGTTATCCATTGTTCATAGATCCTAACTCCAGTTGCATGACTCCTTATGACTAAATCTAGCAATACACCCTTGCATCACATACTCGTTACTTGATGAACCCTTTTACAGTTGAAACTTGCATGTGAACCCTAATGTCTCATGTACTCCAAGTGACAAGCACTATGTCGTTTTCCAAGCTCCTTGTGAGTTAACACTTGACACATGATCTCGAAGCACAATCTACACTCACACCATCACTACAAAAAAGACACATCCATGACATTTTGGCCTGAACAAAAAGTTTTTCTGTCATGGTTATGACACTTCTATGATGATAATTGTGACAAAAACACGTAGCATCATAGATGTGGTGGGCTCCTACTTCTTTTGGCCGTCGGGCATGCACCTGTATGACATTCTTTGGGCCGTCCATGACATTAAAAATCATTGTAGAAGTGAGGGCGAGGAAATTTCCTCGGAGTTCCCGGTCACGGTGGCTGGTCGGGGCTGAGCGATGCAGTGTGGTTTCCGCGTTTCTTTCATAGGTGCGCGTGTGTGTGAGGTGTTCGCTAACTGAAACCGAGCGCGATGGAGAGGCGTTCGCTTACTGATACCGAGCGATCAATCTCGCCCTCGCACTACCAGCTCTAGCCACTAAAGCTGATCGATCCTTTGTTGCTTAACTGAACCCGAGCGATTCCTTCGCTACCTAACTGAACTCGATTGACCCTTCTCACTCCTTACTGAAGCCGAAGGCACCGGTACATGCGGGATGTAGCTGATTCACATAGACACGAGTCGAGATGCATCATTCGATCAAGCCGGTTTATAGTTGTGGATGAACAGTTCTCGGAGGGGGTTCGATGAACAGGACCCCACGGAGGCCGCCACAGCCCAGCCGGTTGTGGGTGGATGAACAGGACCTCGTGGAGGCTGGAAGAATAGTAGCCGGTGGATGTTGGAGGAGGTCGACGGTGGATGAACATTAGCCCGTGGAGGCTAGAGTGAGGCATTAGACGGTGATGAACAGTAGCCCCGGGAGTCCCATTTTGCTGTACGCCACACCTCTCCCGATGAACAGGAGCCTGTTTTGACCGTAGGTGCTCGAAGAGTAGTCTGCTCCTCCGTTTTGCGGTACGCCACACCCCTCCAAATCAACTGGACCCCGTTTCGACAGTAGGAGGTTGAAGATAACTCAGTTTCATCTGTTTTGCGGTAGCCAGACCCCGAGGTGATGAACACGACCCCGTTTTGACCATAGGTTGTCGAATAGAAGGCCGTTTTCTCTGTTTTGCGGTACGCCAGACCCCTCCCGATGAGTAGGACCCCATTTCGGTTGTTCTGTCCAAGACAGTTGGCTCCCGATCGATGAACATGACGCACTCCGATGCAGTTGGTTGGTTCCCGATGAACACGGTGTTGTTTCTCCATTCTGATTAAGTCGGTTGGCTGCCAATGAATAGGACGCAGTTGCTGTATGCGTTCGAGACCCTGCCTGAATGTACTTATGTGGTTGTATTTCTTGTCGTGTGGCTGTAGGTACGCGTACATGATTTAGACAAGACTACCTGAACTGCTATGTCGAGGCCTCTACTACGACATGTGCGGCTATTTACTCGGCCATGTTTCATCCTTGTAGAGACACCGATCAACCAGTATATATGTACACGTTCGCGACCAAACAGACAACA